TTCAGTTCAAACAATTGGGATCATGGGAGCTTTTTACGGAACTCGTAAAATAGTCATTGAAGGTTTCCGCTAACGCTTTTCTGATATTACATTTCCATCAATTATCATCTCCCTAATAGTCTCCTTAAAGTCATCTCGGCCAAGAACAGTGTTAATACGCTTTCAAAGAATGTCAGTTTTTTTTCTGTAACATCCACGTTAAATAAATTTTGCAAGTACACTGTTTTCTCTCGACGTAAAAGACTGTTAACTTTATTTCTTTGAACCTTGAATTGATGCAAGGTTTCCTGTGACCACGTTGAAATAAAATTATGGAATGAGCAATTTTTTATGCGTATTTCCTGTGAACACTGATTTATGACCCAGGGCTTTCTACTCTTGCGTCCAGGTTTAACAACCTTGAACCTAAAACATTTCTCATGTGGAGCTTTAAACTTTTCATGAAAATATTTATACGCAATTTCATGGTCGGCAATAAGCAGTAACGGTGACCAATCAATAGGCGATGTTTCACTACGAGATTTCTCTTATAGCTGTGTGCATTTACGTACCGTACAGTAAAACGTGTACGATTTGCGCTTTTAGTTGACATGGCTTTCATAAATAATATAAATATTGGGAGATGATCGCTAATTGGAACGCCTACAACACCCGATGATAAATGTGTATTTTTAGTATTAGTTATGAAGAAGTCTATCAATGTAGTTGAGTCAAGTGAAATATGAGTAGGATCATTCATTACACTTGCAAAGCCATTGCATTCAAGTATTCTACATATATCGTCTCGCAGTTTCGAAGTGTTCAGGAAGTCAATGTTTATGTAACCTACTATAGCAAGTTTGAAGTGGTTATCATTATTTCAGCTCAATTAATTGTCCATAAAAGAAAGGTAGCTAGGTATGCTCGCACCAGGAGGTCTACATAAAACACAATACACATTATCATTGCATTTCACCGAAATAACTTCATAATCAAAAGTAACAAAGGAAAATGACTCAATGATCTGGCAATGTAGCGTGTTATTTGCCACTAACATAACGCCTCCTCCTCTTCGAGAAGGCCTATTTACAAAAACATGTATTAAATCCAGCTACTTTGAACACATCTGTATCGGTTTTAAATCAAGTTTCTGTTATCATAAGCACATCAGGAGAGATACCAAACCTAGCCGAAAGCGCAATGATTTGATCTTCCTTGTTTCTAACTGATTGCGCGTTAACGTGGACAAAAGACAAAGAATTCTCGTTTCTTGCGTACAAGTCACTGACTTCGCAGGGCGCAAGATAAAAAGAGCCGACATATTGTTCATCGATATGGCGTCATCGAAAGAAGCCATCATATCGCTAGTCGATTTTACCAAGATCTGGGACACAAGCTATGCGCACTGCTCGGGAAGATTCAGTTTTCCTTGCGAAAATCTTGCCGTCCTTCGTCCACGCAAAACGCAACACCTTTTCCTTCTTTTTCGCAATGGTCATGCCAAGAAGCTTTTTCAGTTGGAAACATATAGATGTTCATTATTATATATTGGGGCAGACTGTGTGAAACCGATATCAGTAGTTGAAAACCTTTTCTTTCTGGTCTGATGAAAAACTGCATCGCGTTTTACCTACTGGAAAACTGAACAAGAATGTTTGATTGCATTGGGACTATTTTTGGAATCATATGACATACATGGATATCACTCTGTACAACAGGTTCACCAGTAACATCACCAACTCTTTGCATAATTTGCAAGATATTTTCTCTCTGTGAAACTGGAATGCCCTTGATTTCTAGATTCCTAATTCACAAGTACAGTGTTCCAGTTGTAGTCCTTTGTTCATTTGCCTTCACCTATGTCTTAATGTGGGAGGGGGAGTGATTCAAAAAAAAAAAAAGAGAAAGGTGAGCCCCGTAACTGTCTCTCAGGGGGAGGACACCTCAACAGTTGCTCACGAGGGATGGGGGTAGAGAAGGGATTTAAAGGATAAGATTAAAAGGTAAATAAATAAAGGGAGAGGATGGAGAGAGCGAGGCGCAGGGACAGCGAACGACCGAAGTAAGGAGAACACAGAGAAGATGGACAGGGTTGCAGGAGTCCGAGGACGGGGGGCCACTGGCGAGAGCTCTTGTCGGCGTCAGGAGGTATAGCGTAGGGCAAGTCCAGTAGGCCAGAGCTGCGCTGTCGTCGAAGATCGGCGTCAGGAGCTGGCGTAGGGCTAGCCCAGTCGGCCAGAGCTACGCTGACGTCGGAGATCGCGAGGGCACAACCGGTCCTATGCCTTAATAAGGAACACACACTCAGACACAAGGTGGGCATTCTGGGCATTCTGAGCCTTAACATCTGTATTTTCTTGCTGAGTGGCCTTCATAGTATAGCATCCATTTCTTCGAAACGTTTGTTAAACATTTTCAAGCTAGCTTTCAGTTATCTATATTATTTTCCGAATTCCCTCTCCAAAGAAGCACGCATGTCGCGAATTTCCCGTTTCATTTCTTTCAACATTTTTAGCAACTCAGAATCAGGTGTCATATTATAATATAAGAACAAGACATCCGACAGAGGCGGAAATGTTGTAGGCCTGTGTGCTCATATTTGGGTGCACGTTAAAGAATTCCAGGTGGTCGAAATTTCCGAAGCTACGGCGTCTGTCATAATCATATGTTGGTTTTGGGACGTTAAACCCCACATATCAATCAATCAATCAATCAAGAACAAGGCAAAAAGAAAGCAAAAACAATGAAACAAGATGTGGCATTGGTAGCAGCAATATTGAAGCCAGTCTTAATAGTAGATACTGAGGCCATTTCTAACCTGTAAGGGCAAAATGTGACAAACATCAGCCGCGTGTTCCCACTGCTGCCGCCGCTGCCGAAATGAAGCCTCAAGGTGCCAGCATCGCCTTTTTATCCGGAGCTGCTAGTAGTCGGTGTGCTGTCAGCTGACGATCGTTCCACAATACTCAGGGGGCGGACGCGCCTGATTGTCCAGTTTCGTCACGGCCGCATGCATAATCGTCGTGAATACTGGCGCAGGCATCTTCTGTCAGTTCAGCAATGGCTGCTGTGCACGTGCGGCGTTCCTGCGCACTTTTGGAGCACATAGCTGCTGTCATCGGGACATACAGTTGGCTGCCAACTCACAGTGAATGGGCGAATCATTTTCCAGCTACACGAAGCACATTCTCCCACCGAAGACTCGCCATCGAGTGAGCAGTTCTGTACATTTGACAGCGCGTTTGACAGATCCTAGCACCATCCCGTCAATTTTCCTGTTTGCGTTCCTTTGAGTGACTTAGGTTTGGTACGTGCACGTGGGTGAGACGGCAGGCTGCTTCAGCAGCGGCTCCAAGAATATTGTGGCATATAGTCTAAAAATAATCTTAGGTTAACTTATTGCAAAGTCGCATAAGACACTAGCCAAAAAACACATATAAATGCACACTCTGTGCCGTGAACAGGCTTGTTGGCCGAGTGTACGGAAAAATTAAATCAGAAGTATAGGGTACTAAAGTACGAAGGAGGAGGTGAAAAACGTCAAGGCGCTGACGGAGTACTTGGGATTTTATCACATATTCAGAACTTATTGTTGCGTTTTTTTTTCGTTCGGCTAGGGGGTAGGAAAGAGAATACTCCGGAAGACGTGAACCTCAAAAATGGAAAAGCTGTTTTCCAGCAGTCAGGCATTTAAGTAGTGACCACAGCATCATTACACGCGCAAGTATATTGGCGTGCATTACGTGTTTGTGTAGAAGGATGGACACGTATATGGCCGTGAAGAAGAGTGGGGCCCCTGTTTCCCAATAAAAAGCTAGATGGATGGAGAATATGAAGCTATTCGTATATTATAATACAGCAGAAAGAAGAGACTCAATGCAGGTCTGCGGAGAGTAGGGCGATTGTGCCCGGATGCTACTACAAACGCCCCGATGTTACGTGATACTCATATTTTTGGAAAAAAGAAAAAATAACCTAAAGACCAACGTCGCGGAATGAATAATCAGCTGGTGTTTCTATCATTTCATAAGCAGAAAATGAAATAGTACCCGCGCGCGCGTAATTTCAGGTTACTGTAAATATTTCACAGTAGTAGAAACTTCTCAGAGCACCGCTCAGCGGCCAAATTCTTTCACGGACTGAAGCACCACACACCAAGAAAAATCAATGCTCTAGAGTTTTCAACCATGTATATACTATAAACCGGTATTCTGGTTCTGAAACAAGAGCGATATTCTACGTCTCAAACACCATGACAACACAACACGTTGCGCTTAGCTAAGCCCGCTTTCCTGCAAACTTCGTGGTTTCCAAGCCGCTGTAAGCTTGCTTTACGGCAAAACAGGCACAGCGCACTCCCGCGTTTTTAATCGAAACGAAGCCCCGCCTCCGCGCTCTCGTGCGCCTGTGTCTATAAGGTTCGATACGCGGCCGCACCGCTAGCGCTGGTGCCCCGCGGAGCGCAGCCACGCGGCACAGTGTTCGTACTAAGAGTAGACGACCCTGTACATGCAGTGGGCCTTCCAGAGTAGTTTGAAACGGACAATGTTACGTGCATAAATGTCCCTTCCCAGTGGTGCGGCTGAAGGTGATGCGCGGTAGGCCCGAAAACAAGCGTGAACGCGCTTTTGTCCGGGAAAGGCAACGCTGACGCAGACAACACCCGATGACGCTGATGACGATCAAGAATAAACGTGTTCCAGACCACACATTCTCTTTCTGTCATGGATGGAATACGAACGTGAACGTGCTCTCACCGGTGAAAGGCAACGCCGACGCAGACAAGCTACCGCGGAGGCGAGAGCTCGCAAAGCAACGGTGTTAGTTGGGAGGCGGCCACGCCGCTCCAGCAGTAAACGTGACAGTCGGACCATGCCAACAGAAAAGAACAGCCAGTTTTATTCACACTCGTGAATATATATAGGAAAGTAAGGGGGAGAGGGAAGGGGGATAAGATTGTGCACATGCGCACTTGAGAGCTTGGGTCGCGTCGTTCAATGGGTTACAGCATTTCTTCCCCCTTAGTAGCCAAAACGCACGACCGGTTTCTTGGCTCGTGTGGAGCGACGTAGTACGTATGGTTGCGATTCTGGGGTACTCTGAGAGGTAGCCGGCGCCGTTGTTTCTAGTCGTACCGGCCCTGGGGAAACCGGTGTAGATGGCCTCGACATGTCGTCGGCTGCTGGCGTTTCATCTGGGCTCCGCTTGCGAACTTGATCCACGTGGCGGCGGACAAGGCCATCCACAGTCTTTACCTCCAGGAGGCGAGTGCCACGCGTGGCCTCCACTGTGCCTGGGAACCACTTGTCTCCGGCGCCGTAATTTCGCACGTACACGTAGTCTCCCGGTGCGAAATTCCAGCCTGGGTCACTCGCAGCTTTGGCAGGATAGACTCTGGAAGGAAAAGACATCTCCATTCTTGTGCGCAGACGGTATCCTAATAGCCTCTCTGAGGGAGAAGGACCCTCCTGGTGTGGTGCGTTCCGATAATTGCACAATACACGTGCCAGTGAGGTGAGGAGGCAAGTGCCGCCTATCTTCTTCAAGCCATCTTTGATAGTGCGCACGGCTCGCTCTGCTAGTCCATTACTCTGGGGGTGATAGGGAGGTGTTCGAATATGCGCAATGCCATTGCGCTCCATGAACTGCTCGAACTCTCGTGCCGTGAATGGCGTCCCGTTGTCAGAAACCACCGTGCGCGGTATACCAAAACGGCTAAATATCGTTCTGAGGGCCTCGACTGTGCTATGCGAGTTGGCCTGCGACACGGGAAGCGCCTCAATCCACTTGGTGTGCGCGTCGACAACGATGAGTAACATTTTCCCTTTTACTGGTCCCGCATAGTCCACATGTAACCGCGACCACCTTTCGTGCGTCTCGGGCCAATTTACTGGTTCTTTTGCCTGAGCCATCGGCAACGCTTGCACACAGTTTTGGCATGTCGCCGCAACGCGCTCGATGTCTTGCTCTACGCCGGGCCACCAAAATAACGATCTGGCCTTCGCCTTCATGGTGGAAATTCCTTGGTGGGCTTCATGCAGTAGCCTTAGCAACTTCCCGCGTGCTGCTGTCGGCACTACAAAGCGATGGCCCCAGTAAAGAAGTTCTTCACTAACAGACAGCTCATGCCGCCTTTTGTAAAAATCGGCGATTTCTGTAGTTTCCGTGTCGAGTTTTTTCGGCCAACCTTCCCGGGTATACTTGCGTACCTGGAAAAGTACCTCATCCGCGACGGCGAGTGCCTGGAGTTCCTTCCATGGCAGGGCCGGCTGATCCCACTGGTCCAGGGTCAGAACTTGAGCTTCGTCCTCCTGGTCCACTTCTTCCTGCAACGGTTGGGGTAGACGGCTAAGAGCATCAGCATTGCACATGAGTTTACCCGGTCGATGTTGCAACCGATAACGGTAGGCACCAAGTATGATGGCCCAACGCTGAATGCGCGCAGCGGCCATAGCCGGCGTCTGACGATCCGCTCTTAGGAGACCCAACAGTGGTTGATGGTCGGTTAGAAGCGTGAACTGTCTGCCCAGCAGATAATCTCGGAATCGCGTGACGCCATAAACCAGAGCCAACGCCTCACGTTCAATCTGTGCATAATTCTTTTCTGCGGCAGTAAGCGTCCTGGATCGAAATCCAAGGGGCTGATACTGTCCTTCAATTCGGTGGAATAGTGCCGCTCCCACACCGTAGGGTGACGCGTCGCACTCCAGAAATAGCTCTCGTGCGGGATCGAAGTGAGTTAACACAGGCGCGGAACACAAAACGGCTTTTGCTTTTCGGAAGGCATCGTTTTCGCGCTCATCCCAAGACCATTTCGATTTCTTTTCCAGAAGAAGGTATAGGGGACTCAGGAGCGTGGACAGATTAGGCAAGAATTTATTGTAGAAAGTTAGCATGCCCAAAAAAGACCGCAATTCCGTGACATTGTGAGGAGTCGGTGCCAGCTTAATTGCTTCGATGTTCTTGTCTGACGGGTGCAACCCTGCCGCGTCAATTCTGTGTCCTAGATACGTAACTGACTCCTCACCTATTCGGCACTTGTCCGCGCGGAGCTTCACGCCGTACTCCCTGAACCGCTGCAAGACTGCTTGCAGGTTCGCAGTTGGCTTATCGTTCGCATCTGCTATCAGGACGTCGTCTAAGTACGCTTGAACCCCTGGGAGGCCTTGCAGCACCTGCTCAATTGTTCGTTGAAAAATCGCAGGGGCCGAGGCTATCCCAAACGGTAGCCTGTTATAACAAAAGAGGCCCTTGTGAGTGTTTATAACCGCTAACTTGCGCGAATCTTCGTCTAGAAGAATTTGGTTGTAGGCATCACGTAGATCCAAGATACTGAACTGCTGCCCTCCACGAAGCGTAGCGAGAATGTCGTCCACTACGGGTAGAGGATAACTTTCCATTTCACATACTGGGTTTAGAGTAACTTTGAAATCGCCACAGATGCGGACTGTTCCGTCACGTTTCAGCACTGGCACCACCGGGGTTGCCCATTCTGAATAGGAAACTGGCGTAATAATGCCTTCGGCCACGAGTCGATCTAGCTCGGCGGACACTTTGTCTAGCAAAGAAAATGGAATTTTTCTTGCCTTACAGAACCTTGGGGTTGCTCCGTCCTTTATATGAAGCCGTGCTGGTGGTCCCTTGATGGCTCCCAGGCCCTCCGCAAAAAGGTCTGCGTACTGTTCCAGCACGGGTGCCGCTGTCCGACTCTCCAGCTTCCCGTCCGATGAGAGTGACGCGATGTGAAGAAGCGGTGCCCCTTGTGTCTCGAGCATCTGTAACAGGTCACGGCCGCAAAGGCTAGGACCTTCGCAGTCTAACACAACGAGATCGCAGTCAACTGTTGCAGACTTGTAGGAAGCTTGCATTTTGACAATGCCCCGCACTGGTATCTTCCCAAGATAGCATGACAGAGTTAATGCAGCTTTACAAAGCGGTGGCCACTTATGACGATAGGCTTCGTATATCGCTTTAGGCACTACGCAGACAGGTGAACCTGTGTCGATTATCATATTCAGTGGCACTCCGTTCCATGTAACCTGCTTGTGTAGGGGCGGAACCAGGCTTCCATTACCCTTCACTGACCATATTTGTAGTGCGTTACAATCGTTATCTTCACTTTCCGCTGAACACTCTGTTATCGCGAAGGTTCTGTTGGTGGTGGCTGTCCGGGAGCATACTCGCGCCAAGTGACCTTGTCGCCCACATTTGTAGCACCTGCGCCGTCGTAATGAGCATTCCCTGGCTTGATGTCCCTGTTTGCCACAGCAGCTGCAGTGCTGCGATAAGCTGCTCCGTTCGCTCCTGCTGATTTCGGGTTGCCTGCTACGCTGCACGTTGAACACCCCAACGGCGTCACCTTGCCCGGTCATCTGTTGCGACCCTAACTCCGCGCTTTCGGCTGCTAGAGCTAGTGCTTCCGCTTCTGCCAGCGTCAAGTCCTTTTTGGCTAATAGTTGTTTCTGCAGGTTTTTCGAGCGCACTCCACAAACGATGCGGTCCCTCAGCATTCGCTCCAACATTGAAGAGAAGTTGCAGTTATGCGCTAGCTTGCGAATCTCGACGATAAACGCCTGCACGGACTCCCCTTCTTGTTGGTTTCGGTGAAAGAACTTGAAGCTTTCTGATATCTCGTTAGGGGACGGATCATAGTGCTCGTTCAAGGTTGAAACAACTTCTTCGTAACTCAGCGAGCTTGGTTTTCGCGGTGCGATTCTGCCGCAAAGGATTTCAACGGTCCTCGATCCTAACGCAGCCACCAACAAGGCCCTTTTCTTCGCGTCGTTCGTAACTTCGTTCGCTTCGAAGTAGGCGTCAATCTTAACGAGATACGCTTGCCACTTATCTGTCTCCTCTGCAAAATCCGGAAGCTTGAGGGCCATGGCTGCGGGCGGGCTGATGGGCGTCTTCGTCTTGGTCTCGCCGCTGGCGCCCGGCTTACACGTATCGGTGGGTATTCTCGTCGCCACTGTTAGTTGGGAGGCGGCCACGCCGCTCCAAACGGCAAAGTGACAACGCCGACATCAAGCTGCTACTCCGGAGGTGTGAGCGTGGCATGCGGCGGCTTAACGTCTACGCCGGTCTACGCAGACAGCAAGCTACACCGTAGGCGAGAGCTCGGAAAACAGCGGAAAAACGGCAATGCCAACAAACTGCCACCCCGCAGTTGAGCGCGCGGGAAGCGGCGGCTCAACGGCAGGAACACATTGTACATACTGTACACACGCGTTGTCTCTCATTTACATGTGGGTATTGACACAGATTATTTACAGACATAACAATGCCCAGTGCTTCGCCTACTCGTCATGATTCACTTATTGGAAATGCGCGGAATTTTTTTTGTTTTGTTTGACCTTCTGCATAAAAATAAGTGTGCAGTTGAACCCTCAATATTGCAGCCCCCTTCCGAAAAAAAAAACGAAGATGATATAAATGCATTCGATAATTCGATATACAACTTTTAATGAAGTTTTTTTCATTCTCAATGCAAGATTCAGTGCGCAAGTTGTCTTCACGACATGGCTTTACAGCAATGTAAAAACACGCAGTCATAGCAGTACGCAGATTGTTTTTATTATTATTATTTTTTACGCGATTTGGAGTTTAGTATGTGGAGCAAAGGCGTGGGTTATACGCGATAAATTAAGGTACTGTTATAAATAGTGCCTCGAAGTTGTCATTAACAGCTGTACGACCTTGTCGGGTGCCAGAAACATGCATAATACGGCTTGACCCTAATGCCGGCCTTAATTTTTATCATCGTTATGCGTGTGCTTTTTCGAATGCTGTATGTCATGGTGACGTCATACTTCTGTTCTTCGCGTTTGACTATACTGATTCTTGCCAGCTTTATGGAGAAAAGCGCGTTCTTCAGTTTGACGGCATCCATCACGCTAATAAAATTGTAGCGGAGAAGCGAACGGTGAGCCCGCACGACGGGCCGGAGCAGCGACGAGAAATCATGGGCACAAACATGTTATACCAGGCGTTCGTTTGTACTCGCTCCACGCGGCGCTCTTTTAATCCACAGCTCGCTCTTCAAAGTGCCCGTGGAGAAGTCCCCTTTCATTATGAAAAGCCGAAAATTTGAGAGGGAGAACTTCTTCTTGCCGATGTTCGATATATCAAGTGTTCCTGCTATTTTTGTTCGAAATAGTAGTATATTTTTCTAGGCATTGACGTTAAAAAGCTACCGTGTTCGAAAATAGTTCAATATAAAGCATAGTTCGATATAACCGAGTTTGATATAGTTGGTTTCGACTGTAGCAGCGCCCGTCCTGTCTATGTGTTTTCTTTGTTTGCAGTGTGGTCGTGATTTTGGCGGGAAATTTATGACTGAATTCGACTGTATAAGTCCAGGCTGCTTTCGGCAATATACTTCAGTAAGGCTCGATAGCCGGGCCCACGGAGGCAAGAATAATAGTCCTGTGATCCAGTTGGATGAAGGTCCAAAGGCTCAAAGTTTTGCTGGTATAGGGTCGTCAGATTTGTTTATGTAACCGATGTCTTAAGTGAAACACCCCGCATGGTGTGTGTGTGTGTGTGTGTGTGTGTGTGTGTGTGTGTGTGTGTGTGTGTGTGTGTGTGTGTGTGTGTGTGTGTGTGTGTGTGTGTGTGTGTGTGTGTGTGTGTGTGTGTGGTGTGTGTGTGTGTGTGTGTGTGTGTGTGTGTGTGTGTGTGTGTGTGTGTGTGTGTGTGTGTGTGTGTGTGTGTGTGTGTGTGTGTGTGTGTGTGTGTGTGTGTGTGTGTGTGTGCTTTTTCCGCCCCCTATATGTGAAAATAACTTAAAGGAAAAAAGGGGGTAGCCCGTACCACCAGGAGGTATAACGGGCTCAAGCTAATCTAACATAAATGAAGAGGGGAAACTTCCCAAATTTTTATTTTTTTGAAAAAGCCAATTAGTTAAAAAAATAACATGGGTAAAACCTAGTGAGTGCGGCATGAAACTGTAATAAACTAGTTAGCTTCTCAGGGATGAGCAGGTCGATATGCAGCAGCAGTGTATTTCCCCCACTTGAGTTTTTGGAGTTCGTGTGTGTGTGTGTGTGTGTGTTCGTATGTATGTGCCTCTGTGCGTGTGTGCGTATACGTGTTTGAGTGTGTGCGTGAGTGTGCATGTGCCTGTCTGCATGCGTGTTTGTGTGTTCATGTGTATGTGCCTGTGTGCGTGCGTGTGTATGTGACTGTATGTGCGTGCTTGCATGTTTGTGTGTGTTCTTGTGTATGTACCTGTATGCGTGTTTGTGTGTGCATGTGTGTGTATGTGCGTGTGTGCGTGCGTGTTTGAGTGTGTATGTTGATTTGTGGGGTTTAACGTCCCAAAACCACTATATGATTATGAGAGACGCCGTAGTGGAGGGCTCCAGAAATTTTGACCACCTGGGGTTCTTTAACGTGCACCCAAATCTGAGTACACGGGCCTACAACATTTCCGCCTCCATCGGAAATGCAGCCGCCGCAGCCGGGAATCGAACCCGTGACCTGCGGGTCAGCAGCCGAGTACCTTAGCCACTAGACCACCGCGGCGGGGCAGTGTATGTGCCTGTATGTGCGTGCGTGCATGTTTGTGTGTATGTGTGTGTTCGTGTGTATGTGCCTGGGTGCGTGTGTGTTCGTGTGTGCTGGTGTATGTGCATGTGTGTGTGTTCTTGGGTATGTGCCTGTGCGCGTGTGTGTGTGCGTGTATGTTTGTGTGTGCTCGTGTGTATGTGCCTGTGTGCGTGTGTGTTCGTGTGTGTTCGTGTGTGTTTGTGCATGTGCCTGTGTGCGTGTTTGTGTGTGCATGTGTGTGTGTTCGTGCGTATGTGCCTGTGTGCGTGCGTGTTTGTGTCTGTGTGTTCGTGTGTGTGTGCGTGTTTCTGTGTATGTGCCTGTATGTGCGTGCGTGCATGGTTGTGTGTATGTTCGTGTGTATGTGCCTGTGTGCGTGTATGTTTGCGCGCGTGCGTGCGTGTTTGTGTGTGTGTTCGTGTGTATGTGCCTGTATGTGCGTGCGTGCATGTTTGTGTGTATGTTCGTGTGTATTGCCTGTGTGCATGTATGTTTGCGTGCGTGCGTGCGCGCGCGCGCACGCGTGTGTGTGTGTGTGTGTGTGTGTGTGTGTGTGTGTGTGTGTGTGTGTGTGTGTGTGTGTGTGTGTGTGTCGCACACAGTACTTTTGATAACGCGTTCCAAGTAGCACCGCCACTTTTTCGGTAACCTAGCAACATAATGGTTACCACGTAAGAACCGCACCGTATCACCCAAGTAGCAACGGACTGGCTGAACGTTTTGTTCAGACTTTGAAGTCAGCGCTCCGCAAGACCAGTCCAAGGAGCGCCAGTGAGGAGTTAGCCGACTTCCTTCTGGCGTATCGTAATACGCCTCATGCTACGACAGGGGAGGCCCCTTCCACTTTGCTCCTGGGGAGACGCCTGCGGACCAGACTAGACCTGTTACGACCAGTGGTCTAGAACAGAGTGCGCCAGCGCCAGTTCGACCAGACAAGGCGTCACCCATGTCGCAACAACGTCATCGCTGTTGATGATGCCGTTCGTGTGCGCAATGTCCGATCGGGACCAAAGTGGCTGTGTGCAACAGTTCTTGCCCGTACGGGACCAGTACGGGACGTGGCATGTGGAATATCGGTTAAGTGTAGTGACTCCTCGGGGTGTGTTCCAGTGGGTGCGTCACCAAAATCACATCCGCAACGATAACACCGGCATCGCCACGGAGTTCGAACTACCCTTCAGTGAAAGGCAGCAAGAAGTTGCCACACAGGTCCCGACCTGCGACTCATCACATGACGTCGACAGCTCGCTCACCGCACAAAGTGAACCGGCGGGCACTGCAAACGCTCCTAGCGAACGTCGCTACCCGCAGAGACAGC